ATCAAAATGAGCTTAAACTCAAACAAAATTATTATGACTAAATAGGTATTTTCAATACCTTTCAAACGAGGTATCACTTGTCATAAAGTTCCATTTAAAATTATCTGTCACAGTGGCGCTGTAACGTCATCTGTCACTATTATGTCACCTGTTATGACTAGTTAAGAAGCCTACGTCTGTTTATTACCTCCCTCCAAATTTCATTATTATAACAATAACCGTTCAAAAGATACGAGGGGGGAACGGACTTTTGACTAGCACTGTATATAAATTTATGTAAGTGCACTTGCTAATTGTTGTTTTTTACTTGTATGTAAATGTTATAATTTTAAAACCATATCATTGACTGGTTTTGTACATTTTTTAAACTTTATGTATGTAATTTTTATAATTATTATTAAAGTGTACTTGAAGAGTACTAAAAATGAAAGTAATTTTATTCCAAATAACTATTATTAATCTATCTCAATGCTTATTCCCAAACTAAACAATAAATCGTAAATACAGTTTGAATTAATTTGAATCCGGACCTGCCCGTCGCCATATTGGAGAGTGCATGATGTCAAAATAAGTGGTCCCATTTAGTAGATACAGAAATATCGTTTATGTCATATCCCCTCTCTTACATATCTCTGACCTGAATAGAAAGTAACTCGTAGAAGAAATTGCAAAAGTCAATACTGAACTATTTATTTCACAAACATACATTTAATGTTTTTGGATATTTTAATTTGCGTTCTGACTATGTAAGTAAAACACCGATTTATAGTTTTTGTGCTTACCAGACATTTTTATTGAGAGTAAACTAATATTTATCAATTTAATTATAATACTAGAAAATAAATCTTATTTGCCATGTAAAACAGATCATTAAAAATATTTGTTCTAAAAGTCTCAATTTCTTAAGGTATTGTTTCAAATCTGATTCTTTTTCATCTATTTACAAAGACAAAACGTTAATTTTTCGTTCATCTGGTGTAAAAGTTTACAGTAACAATAAGTTCAGTGGTAGAGTGTGTAAGTGTGCGTTCATAACGAGGCGCCGATCCTCGGTCGGACCATAGGGTAGTATCATAGTATCATCGCTACGTAATATAAATGCATTATTTTCATTTCACCGTCAAAGCGCAGCGCCCAGCCTCGATCCAGGTATCGGACCATGAACTTAGATCATAGTATTCCAGCTGCGACCATCGTATCGATGCCAGGTGAAATAAATGCATTTTATTTTAAATGTGAGTGTGCACTGTCAGTTCTATGCGATGGTCTCCGTAATTAAGGCACCCTTAAGGTGCGTTCATTACGGAGACCATCAATCATGTTAATCCAGAATTAAAAAATTAACCCGGTTTAATTTATTTACGGCAACCTTAGCCATAATATGCAATACTTTATGTCGTTATTTTAGTTGAAAAATTGTTTAAATTATTTCAAATTTACTAAATTATTAACCTCTTAAAATTTAAATTACGGTTATGTCGCAGCTTGTCACAAATTTCTCAATCCGAGCCTATGTTTTCCGTTTTAAATATATCGATCGCAGGAGGGCACACTTCAAAGGCGGCATCTGAGAGTGAGTATTCTGATTTTTATTTATTCTGTGCTTGGCTCATGTAGTGTCAGGTGAAAAATATAAATTACTCCGAATCGTATTGAAAGGTAAAGTATTAGGCAAAAGGTCAGTAACTAGACTACAGAGCTCATGCTGAAAGATCTCAGTAGATGGTTTGACCACTTATCCACAGCAATTTTTGTGCAGCAGTTTATAAAGCTACAATTGCCACTTGAATTGCTAACTTTCAAAAGGAGACAACGCAATACGATGAAGAATGATTTAAAAGTCACTTACTAAAATCTTTGACGTAAACACGTAAACGTCACTGACTATGCTCGGTTCACAATTTGTTGATAGCTCACTACAAGTTTAATCCTAATTAGAGAACTGAAATACAGAGAGGATAGGTAATACGATATAATAGTAAAAACCAACCTGAAACTGACGATTTAAGATGTTTTCGACTAACCCACCTTGTATCTGTCGGAATACAATAGAGCGGTCAAGCTTATAATCCGATTAGGAACGTATTTTGGCCGACCAGTGTCGTAGAGTATAATATGATTGAAACATTTATTTGAACTAAATAAATATATTTTTTAAATTGTATTTTTGTTTTAATAAAACTTATAATAAAATTAAATATTTTATTCAAAAATAAAGTTTTTTGCCATTTGTAAAAGATACATTTATTTAATTAAGGGGAAAGGCACCACATGTGTTTTAAATGTATCCATTATTTTCAAATTCGGAGAAAACTTTTTTTTTTTTACATCCTTTATTTATTGAAATCTGTTTCTACAAATAAAAAAAAACAATAATCAATATGTTTATCAAGTTTATTACATTATTACTGAGGGTATTATATATGTGTATACTGATGTATATTACCGAAAGTCCCTGAAAACTTCTACAATGTTTATTTTATTATGTTATGCAACAGGAGTGAAAATAAAAGAAAGAATATAGTATAATTTTTAATTGAAAATATTGCATGCAAAAAAAACTTTTTATTTATTCTAATAAATATTTTATTCTGCCTTTAAATTTTTCCAAAAAGGCTTTTTAGTTTTCTTAGGATTCAAAAAAAAATCGATACATTTAAAACACATTGAACATTTTGACAGGCGACGTTTTGCGCCTTTCCCCTTTAATACCTTACGATTACAACTACTATTACTGACCTTATATAATTACGATTAGGAATCTATTCAAATTCAAAATAAATAGGATCAACTTCGGAATCCGAGTCGTCTTTGAGGGTTAATAATTAGCGGTTGTGTCTCTACGGTCGCATCAATTATGTTATCAAGATCCCACATTTTTTGTTCTTCTTCTATTACATGGCCTACTGCATCTTTCCAGTATTGTTCTGTAATGTGTTGTAAAGACTCGTATAATAATTCACGTACAGCTTGTATTTTATATGACGTATTTTTTCTAGCCACATAACTTTTCATTTGTGCCCAAATGAGTTCAATTGGATTTATTTCGCAGTGGTAGGGTGGAAGTCTAAGGACTGTGATGTTTCTCCTTTCCGCCATTTTGTCAACTACGTATTTCTTGAACTTAGATTTGTGTTGCCGGGCAATTTTTAAAAGTTCTGCTTTTACCATTCCATCTTCGTAAGGCAGGTACTTATTCCGCAGCCAGTCAAGAATATCCTGTTTTTCCACGCAGTCGTTGGAAGTCTTTCTACTAGTCGTGAATGATAAGGTGCATTATCTAATACTATAATTGAATTTGGTGGTATGTGTTCAATCATCTGCACAAAATACTTTTCGAAAACATCAGCTGTCATCTCCTCGTGATAGTCTTTTGTGCTTTTGGACTGAAATTCCAACAAACCATGCTTAACAAATCCTTTTTCACTGCCAATGTGAGAAATTATTAATCTACTGCCTTTACCAGAAGGTGGGGAGATATCAGTAGACCAACCTTCCATAAAGGCTTACCTGGAGCTTAATATATTTTTATCTGACCAAACTTTTTTTAGAGTATGACCTGAGTTTACCCACGATTCATCCTGGTAGAAGATTGGCCTTCCTTCAGCCCGGAATTTTCGTATGGATCTTAGATAATTTCTTCTCCAACATATGATCTCCTCCCGGTCAATCAAAAGTAATTTTCGGTCTGATTTCTCCCACCGGAAATTTAATTCTTTTAAAACTTGCCACAATTTAGTTCGTCCGATATGAGGCAAATCTGGATCATCTCTAACTTCTTGTAAAATTTTATTTAGGTTTGGTATTTCTTTTTTGAAAAAAAATCCATGAATTTTCCTTCGAATACCATTTTTGGCAAATTCATCAAGTTCAATAGGCTTTTTCCCTCTCTTTAAGTGTTCGTTTGTGTTTGGGTTAGCTATACCGTGTTTTTTTTTTCTGATAGGAACCTATATATAGTTGACTCCCCTACGCCAGTCATGGTGGCACAACTTTCGACTATGTTGCGAACAGTGTTTGTAGGATTCTGAGAAACCAGAGCATCGTGAACATTGAGGACAATAGTCTTCTCTCTTGGTGAATAGACAGACTTACTGACTCTACGCAACAGTACCGGTGTAAAACTTGATGATGTTGATGATGAAGCCATCACAAACAATCCAACAAAACGAGCACGAGCGAAAGGTACGTATATGTTCGTAGGTATATGGAATAAAAAATCACTCACGCCCTGCATATAATTCGCAAAAGAAATATTCGAGACGCTAATTACTGCCGTAGAAGCGGAAACACCGACGAGCCGTAAATTACATGCGATCAAAAACGTACTAAACAAACAAATTGTTTTCGTTTGTAATAACTTCACCTTTTAAGTGAAGTTTCGAATATAAACTAAACAGACGAGGTACGTGGCCAAATCCGGTATCTATACCTATTATATTATTAAAAATCTGGGGAATTCCATCCTAATTATCTTGCAACCGATAGTACCTTCGGATATAAATACCAGGTTTTCTAGTAAAGTAATTAAACGCGAAGATTAGTATTGAAATATCCAAAGAGATAAGGTATTCTTATTTACAAAATTGTTAATGGTTAAATTATTATTTTTATTTATATAATATAATAACCAACATTAGCCGTGAAAGTTTTAATTGTTTTTTACTAAATATATCAGTATTAAAACATTATTAATATTAATATTAATTTTAATGAATAAACACCTCAGGAATGCCTATGATGATACAAATTTTACGACCGTTTGATGATTTTGAGGCATATTTCGTGCTATCAACAATTTGTGAACAGAGAATAGATTACATTTCGGACCTTAATACTGTCTAGTGAAGTAGTTTGCAGTTTTCATCCATGGCACTGCAGAATAGAATAATACAAGAATAATAGAAATAAGTACAAGATAATCTATTATTTCTACTTCAACGACAGTGCAACGTTAAATTTATAATGAATCTATTTAAAGAGATAATATTTATACTCACCATTACAAATCCCCCCCTGGCACATGCTATAAACGCTATATACCATTCTGCCAGATTTGGAGCCCATATTCCTATTCGGTCTTCTGGTTGAAATCCTAATTTCAAGAAACCAGCGGCTAGTCTGTCAGCTTCTTCAAGAAGGCTTCGAAACGTCAGCTTTTTCTTTTGATGGCATGACACGACTGCTGTCCTATCACCAAAGCAGTAACTGGACTTTTCTGAAAGCTGTCCCAATGTTAAGTGACTTAGAGGCTCTTCTCCAACGCAGTGGTAGTAACTGGGTTTTGTACTTATCTTTCGAATTCTACAAAATTAAAGATACTTTGATTTCTTAGATTTTAGAACAGTTGAAGAAATAAGTAGAGAAATAATTAATGTGAAAAATATATACCCACTAAATATTGTTCTAAAGCTATTTTCTTGTGGAATTTTAGAGTAATATTATTTAAATGGGGATAAGCCACAATTTAAGGTTAAAAGAAGTTTATTGACGAAGTTCCACTTCGGAAATCTTTCTTAAGAACAAACATTAGTAAATTAAATAATTTAATTTACTAATGTTTGTATTTTAAGAAAGATTTCCGAAGTGGATCTTGAAACGTCAATAAACTTACTTTAACCTTTAATTGTGACTTAATCCCATTTAAATAGCAATATACATACTTAGTCCATTAAAATATTACTTTTTATGACTTAGCGTGCGTTTCTTAGGGGACTCAATTTTATTTTTTTGATGTGTTGAAAGGATAAGTATAAGCCTAAGTTCAAGTTTGTGAGATTACCACCCTTGTCCCCCGACCGTCATCTTGAAAAAAGTGGGGGCAGGGTTTTTGCGTTGTACCATGTAAACCAGCAACCCTACAAAAATTTTATTAGATATTACTTGCATAAAATTAAACTCTGTCTCCAACTCTATTTTTATTAGTTTTATTCGTAAAATGGAAAATAAAAAAGTTATAAATAAAAATAACTAACAAGTTTTGAACAAATTATCTTTTGGACCTTATAACTTTTTTTATGGTAATTTAAAATAAAATTACATCACAGCAATATCATAGAGAGTTTTCCATGGAATAGTTTTTACTACAAATTTATTTATTTTCTTTAATTTCTCTGGATTTTACAGCGCTCCGAAGTTGGCCGGTGTCTTGAAAACTCACCATCTTGGAATAATGGATCCCAAGAGTTTTCGCGCTGTATCACATTAACTAGCAATCATACATAAATTATTTTTTATTTATTTGTAGCAAATTAAATCGTTTACAAATATGTCTCTATTACTTTTTACGGTCAAATGGAAAATAAAAAAGTTAGTAACAAAAATTACTAAAAAATTTTTAAACAAATTTTCTTTTCGGCCTTAAATTTTTTTCTAGTCATTTACAATGAAATTACCGTAAAGTGAGGCTACTTTGTGACACATATGCCTACTTTTTGATAGTGGCCTCTAAAGTTAAACTTACTAACTTAGACCAGTCACTCGAAATACTGGATTAATTGGAATGGAAAATGAAATGGAGTGTTTTATTTCAATAGTAGATTGTGTGCGCTATCTAATAACCAAATTTCTCAGTGTATCTTCGCTCGTCATGCCACAGCTGATTTGATCGTCGTGACAACAGGTGATTTTGATTTGGCGCGCAAACTTTGTCTTGCCCAGAAGAATTATTAAAAGATATTTCTGCCAAAGTAAGTTTATATTTTAACACAATATGTCGCCTTAATTTATTTCTAAAATATTGTCTTTTATTAGTTTGTTTGAACGTTGTTTCATGAAAATATTTAAAATAATTACAAACACAGGGTCTACTTTGCGACACATGGAATGTCACAAAGTAACCTCTGGTGTATTAATTAAAATACTAATATTAATTTATTTTTAGATAAAATGCCTATCTATAAAAGAAAGATTGGAAGTCATGTCAAATATACCAAAGAGAAGTTAGCAGAAGCTCTTGATTACATTAGGAATATACGACTTGCGCTTCGTGGTGCTGCAGAAAAGTACGGCATTCACCAAACTACTTTATGGTTCAAAACTAAAAACAGGCATACCATCATACCAAAAAACATGGACAGTAAATAGTGTTTAGTGAAGAGGACGAAAACGTGTTTTCAGTCCATTTAATAACGGTATCAGCTTTCGGTTTTCAAGTAACCACTTTCATTTCTAAAACGACATCCCCAACTTTCTCAGACGATAGCTCAAAATATTTCACATATTAGAGTTCAGGCTGATGAAGAAATGATAAATAACTTCTTTGATAATTTAGAGGTGAAGTTACAAGACCTTCCTCTATGTAACATTTGGAATGACGATGAAACCAATCTTGTCGATGACCCAGGACAAAGCAAAATAATAACTAAAAGAGGAACCAAGTATCCTGAACGTATTAGACACGCGTTTAAAGCATGTACTTCTTTAATCCTATGTGGACATGCCGAGGGTCTCTAAATGCACGATTTAATAAGACAGCTTCAGGATGGTTTGATTACCAAGTTTTTGAAGATTGATTTCCACGACTACTACTTCCAATATTAAAACGAAAAGAGGAACGAAAGCAATCATAGGTGACAATCTTAGTTTACATTTAAATCAGCAAGGCATTCAAGAATGTGAAGCTAATAATGGACGAAATAATACAAGCAGTACGTAAAGGTCATGGCTACAGAATGGGAAACAAAGAAATCCAAATATTATGTTATGCAGACGACGCCGCATTAATCGCCAAGACAGAAGACGAGCTCCAAAGATTAACTTATATCTTCAATACAACAGCTAAGAAATACAATATGATAATATCAGCAGACAAAACCAAATGTATGGCAACATCTAAAAACCCACTACGGTGTAAAATCGAAATTAATGGGAAAATAATAAGGTAGGAACCAAGGTTTAGATATTTGGGAATAGATATAACTAGTTACGGAGACGTTGAAGAAGAAGTACGACAATAAAGCTTAAAAGCAAGTAAAGTGACGGGTTCTCTTAATGACACAATCTGGAAGAACAAATACCTAAGACGAGAGAAGCAAAAACATAAGAAGAGCATGCAATATAGAAGATATAAATAAATGGGTGACAAAACGAGAACGAGTGGAACGAACATATTAGTAGAAAGGCAGAGGATAGAATGGTACGAATAGCACGAGATAAGTCACAAAATGGACGAAGAAGTATTGGCAGACCAAGAAAAAGATGGTGCGACAATTTAGAAGGCTAATATTGAAGAAGAAACAGGCTTTAAAGCCTACATACTAGAAGAAAAAAGAAGAATAAGAACACTAAACGTGGCCTTTTTCCGCCCTATGAAAGAGAAATGGCGGAAGATTTTAAATACATGGAAGACAAGTGGTCACGGTAGCAGACTTTCTTCTAAACATGAGTTTCCTAGTCTTTTAAACAATCTGATGAACCAATTAGATGAGAGAGTGGCTAACAATTTAAAATTCGGATTTAGAAAGACTAGAATATTTCCTTTAGATCGCCAACAATTCTTAGATCGTTTATGTAATCATATTGTAACAGCAGATGTCCAAATAGCTGAAAATTTTGGCAATAGTTTTATTGAACATCTAACCAATATAAGACCGGAAACTACCAAAGGAAGGCAGATTAGAAGAAAAAACGTTTAAATGTTCCACCAGGAAAAAGTATAAGCAGTAGTGACTTAAAAAACGATGTTACCACTGCTGTAACTACAGAAAATGATATGCATTCATATGATTCACATATTGCTAGTGAAGATGAACACAAACCTGAATATATGAAAAGTAATGATAGTTCATGGTATGAGCATCTTTATGGCATTGACAACGAATATTCTTCAGAAGATGTTTTAATATCCGAATAAGTGGAAAATTCAGTGGGAAAGTACGTAGTCGTTCACTTCGATGAAGAATATTTTCCTGGCCAAATCACTTTCTAGAATTAAATGCTATACTTAATTAAGCTATACTTTAATAGCCCTAGGGATTTTATAAAGTTTTAGACTTTCTTTTTATTTAGTTACCCGTATATTTCAGCTTTTTTGTTATCTAAATGGCGTTACATATTCTTAAATATTTTTTTGTTTAATTATATTTAAAACAGAATGTTTTTTTTTTCAATATATGTTTTATTTCTTACCAATTTCTTTCTTCTTATTTCTTACTTCTTCTTTCATGAGAAAAAAAATTCTTTTTGGTTGTAAATTAGTCTTAATTTATGTGTTTTTAATCCAAACTAATAAATCAATTGTCAAATTTCTTTTTGTTTATTGTCTCGGCCCTTAATGGGTTAATCTGCTATTATAATTTTTCTTTTTAAACCATGTACGGGTGTTTCTTTGTGCCACAGTTAGAATTCCATATAAATATCACAGAAAAATTTACGTGTCACAAAGAAACCCCTACCAATAGAGCGACTTTGTGAAATTTTTTTTAACATTTTCTTGATTTTTATAACATATAGCGCATTATAATTTTCACTGAACATAGGGGAGAGATTGATCTTTCAGGTAGTATTTTTAAAATTATAATAAACCGAACGTGTATGTACTATATCATCACAAAACCTAAAAAAATGTCACAAAGTAGTCTCATTTTGTGGTATGTTGGAGCAATATTAAAGAGAGTTTTACAACAAATCATTTTTACTACAAATTTGTATAATTTGATTATTTCTTTTACTTTTACAGCGCTTTGAAGATGACAGGGTTCTTGATTACTCGTAAGAATACGATAAAAACGAACCATTAGACTTAAGTTTTTATTATATATTATTTATTCATATCATTTTAAATCAATTTTTTTATATTATTCCTATGTTATTATTAATTTATTATCGACCCATTCCGCCACCACAAATCTAAGCCCACCTCGTGCGCTTGCGTCATATGAAACAACACCAATCCACAGAGATAAAACTTTATTAAGAGCACCGAACCAATAATATTCGAAGATAAATTTCTTGGTAATGAAAAGAACAAAACAAACTGAATAGACCTTCTGAAAACTATTCTATCAGAAGTGGGTTTCAGTGTCGACGAGGCTGAATCTGATGCAGATGCAATGGTTGTTCAAAATGTTAGACACCTAAGAAAATTCAACTTTTTTTACAAAAAATATATATAATTGAGCTGAATAATATATTAATGTGTCTATTTTCATTAGATTATCTTATAACACTTAATGAAATCACAATAAATAGGCTGACATCAGTGACTCAGATGCCATTGTTTGTCAGTCCTTTTTAGCCTAGCTTGCAACTCGTTTGCATATTATTTTGTATTCTTGATATTTAGAGTTATAATAAATAGTTTC